CACAAATGTTGCATTTTCTGTGAGTCGCTCAGTGTTAACAGAAACACCGCAAAATGTATTTCAACGCGACAGCTGCTCAACATGCATCGGCCGCCTTAACGTCCCATATTAATACCTCGCGATTCTCTTTGCCCCTCTTCAACGTATCATTCGGGCGCCCGGTATCAGCCAGTCTCCTCAGCACAGAAATACTGGCCGTGACGTTCAATGCTGCGGCTTTACTATTTATGCTAACGAAAACGTCACTGCGGACACCGTTCAACGTGTACGTTTTCGCCTTAATGTGTAGTAATGTGGCGTTTGTGACTGTTGACTATACCATCGTCGTCGTCGCCGAGGCGTACGGGTCATTGTGGCTAGGTAGTTCCGTCTGCACCGTACGCCTGTATTCCATATATGTCCTGGCTTCCCTGATCTACCATTATCATCTGCTGATCACGCTGAATCGCGCGTGGGCGCTGTTTGGACCAATTTCCTATCGCGCCTATCATAATCGCACGACGGCTGCTATAATATGCGGCGCTGTTGTCGTATATCCACATCTGTTTATGCTGCCGCAAGTAATACGCGATCACTTGTACTATCGTTTACCGCTGGAGAAAGGCTGTCGGCTCAATACCGCCCGCCAATTTACGCTGACAGAATTCACCAACATTCTAATTTTCGATGTGCCATGTGTGAGCATTTTTCTCGCTTATCCGTTTTTACTGTGGAAGATGTTGTCGTGGCGACAGACAAGACCGATTTGCAAGACCAACACCGCACAACGTCGACTGAAGGGGAAGCAGGAATCTCTCCATCGTCCGTTCATCCTGTTGACACTCTACACGTGCAGTACCATGGTGTGCTGGCTGCCGACTATCTGCTACTATACGATTCTAAGCGGTTTTCCCACTGTTCAACCGGGCACCGCCTTTTACCAAGCCCAAGCCAACCTGTACAACCTCCAGGCCATCTTGGATCCCCTGTTCTTCTGTCTCACCGTGGGCAATGTAAGGAAGTTTGCATTTCGACTTCGCAAAGGACAGCATAAAAATCAAATCCGCCCTCTTTCTGACATGTTTCAACTGCAAACCATCAGAACGGAAAGCGTCGAGAACATCAACGCAGCAACTACAACGGCGGTGTAGCCTGACGATGTGCAGTGTACATCCAGCTTTATCTCTGCCTGTTGTACTCGTACTTGAGGCAGTGTGTGTTCTTCCTGAATATGTTTCGCAATGGTTCTTTTAAACGCATACGACGGAATGGTTTCGCGTTGACATTTACTGAGCGTACCCACATGAATATTTTCTCTACGGAGTATTTTTTCTCTAGCATGCCGGAGATACTTAAATTCCTCAATCAGTGATGCTGGTTTCACCATCCGTGATTCGAGTTTCAGTTGGTACCTTGGTGGTGGCGTTGGCGGGCAAGAATTATGGTCTATAAAAGCCTTAGTTGGCGCATTGGTGTTCTCTCTCCGCGCCCAAAATGTTTCAGGGTTTCTGCTCCAAATTTGGATTTGGCTGCAGTGATAAGTAAACCGTTTTCGGATCCACTTCGCGAAGGTGTTACTGATGTTAAAGATGCCGCAAAGTCACCGCCTAATTATTTGCATCGATAAGGTGAGTAAGCAAAGTAACAGAAAATTTGCGAGTAAATACAGTAACCCCAAGTTAACTTCTAATACAAGTGTTTTATTCTTTGGATTCTTTCGATTCAATACAACCTGACGCTGCGTTCGTCTTATTAAACAGTTTCATTCAGATTTGACATTTCATTTTAAATTGTAACTCTGAGTAAACGACTCACACTTCATTTGACCGTCTGTAACGTGCGGCATTATGCACCAGGATTGTGCAAAGGTAAAAATATAATAAAGTTCAAAACACGGATAGCGTACCTTAAGGCCACAAATTACACCGACGATTCTGGTTGTTTTTTTCAAATGCTGATTGTTCTGTCTATTCTGATCATTCTATGTAGTGCTCACTAGGGCAAGCATTTTGATGGGTGTACGTGCGCTAGATTGCTTTAGAACTACACAACATGGGGTGTGCAGGAAAATTTGGAAAAATTGTGAACTTCCTCAAAACTGTTTTCATAAATTAATCATTTCTATTTTAACCAGAAATGTCAACGCCTGCATTGAACTCAATTTGTAGTCCTTTTCTCGTAGCGGACCAATGATGATCTAGCGACGCGACGGCACGCACAACAGACTTGCCAGGCGCTGGTCCAGGTCTAATAATTCGATAATTACGGTAAATTACGATGGCGGCAGGTGCCGGCAGTCGCTGCAAAACTCTATCGTTCTCCCAGAAAAAAATTATTTGGTTTCCCGCTGTTTATAACGAGTCAGTTTAAAATTAACCTAACAAATTCATGTACCGCAAAATCTGTATACCTTGAATACTTACGGTTCCGTCGGAGCAGCTTCCGGGGTGCCCAATACTGTACCGTTATTTTAAATTGCCTACTCGCGGCTTTCGTTATGTGGTAATTTCAAAAGTATTTGCGAGTAAAGTGTTCAATCTTCATATTACACAGCACCGATGTTCAATATTCGCGGTGTCCCCTTATGTTGTAGTCAAATACGAGGCTCGGCTCATTGAACCTAGCCGGGCGTTCAATGTTCGCAATGTAGTCTCACAGATTTTACTGTACCAGAGGCAGTGTATATACCAATTTCTTAATTGGTGTTTCGTTACAAGGTAACGGTTAAGTTTCGGGATAGGTGGGAAGGAGTTTTGAGAGTGACAACAATAAATTTTTCTCCCCGGAAAGCAACGAATGACAACAGCATTATGGCCATCGTGTTAGACTGTTCTTGGGAAGCAATTATTTAAACGACAGCTATATATAGTCGTGTGGGACGATTACGGAAAGCCGGCCATATCAGTGACTAGTGCAATCAAAACCGCTGATACTGCAAAAACTCACAATATCAGCAGACTCAACAGGGCGGTTTGTAATTGGTCTACACCATCGCAATCATATCGCCTTAGCCATTACGATAAGGCACATCGAGACAGTTGAGTAATACGGTATTTATTAAGCCGTCCGTCAGGCTGATGCCTGTGGGCTTAAGGCCACTACCTACAACGCATTCGATTTGGCTGCAGTTTAACCGCAATATTTGTCCTTATTAATAAACGATTTATTAAACTGTGCTTTTTGATTTCAGTTTCACGTGAATGATCTCTGAAAATATCACTGGTTAATAATCTTACCAACAGCAGACCATCTACTGCGGACGCAAATGTTCCGGATACTAGCCTACCTTGCAATCAGCCGATTGCGGTTTTCTCTTCCAAATCTAACGTAACAGAGCCCGTGGCCAGCCTAGATGATACTCAAACAGAAGCAGCTACACCGGCCTCCATGGAAACATCCAAAGGCAAGAATGCTATGAAAACGACGTGAAACAGAACAGACCTGCGTTAAAATCCCAGTCGAAACAGCCGCAGTGCCCGATACCCAGACGCCAGTATCAACGGAAGTCGCGCTGAATGCAGTAGAAAATCAGCAGAGCAATGGTGAGAATGTGGAGAGCAATCGGGGACTGGATTTGAGGTGGCGGTTTGATGAAGATGATGACAACAGCGACAGCGATGGTTTTTGGCAGCCTGGCTACGACAGTGATGACAGTGCCAATGAAACTGACGGCATGGTCTGCGTTCAACAGTAGATGTCCAAGGGATGGCCCAAACGGCCAAAAAACTAAATGACACGATGACTAGCACCAAAGATTGTCTTGGCCACCAAAGATTGGCCACAAATCATAAATTAAATCAGTGCATGTACAGGTTGCGTTCGTAATTGTGTAGTGGGCATTATTAACGTTCCAACTGTTCAAGACTGAATGCGTTGAAATCCATAAAGAAAGTATCAGAGGGATAGTTTCTATTAAAACTGATTTTAAAATTCGGTTTTCGGTGGATGTTCTTACGGGATCAAAAAAGTACTGGAGTTTTTGAGAGTGTCTTCTATTTTCGTTATGTATTAGTCAGGCCGCTTATATTTAACAATGCAACAATCCACAGATGTATGCTGTGAAAATCCCCAGTATTGTTCGCTAGCTAGTTCAAACAAAATGTTTCGGATTAACTCGAACATATATTATCAATTCGACCAGTGTGATATTGATAAAGGACGGATGTTGCGAATAACGCCGACGCATGAAAGGATATTATTCCGCAGCTGCTGAGCTACTAGTTAATTATTTTATAACTCTGCAGTCTGCACTGGAATTATGCCGCCCACTTTCTTTTGTACTTAACAACCGGATGAGAAATGCAAACCTACTCTGGAAAAGCTGCTCTCACGCAGCGAGCAGTGCGTCTCACGCCGTAATCTGGGCTCACGGCTCACGCTCATAAGAAATCCAGATTACTCATGAAAATCACAGGATTTACTGAGAGGTATGGCAATCAGATGCGTGCTCCGCGCGATCTGATTCAGTCAAGAGAAAGCTTAATAGACTTACTGGAATGCGAGGCTATCTGCGACAACCTTTCCCGTATAGAGAATTAAGTTTTGAACCAAGCTTTTATGGACGACGATGTGGAAGTGACTGCCGAATGCAATTTGATCCTCAATATAGCGAGTGAATTTTTTTTGGCGTCATCGATAGCTTTGGATGCTACGCCTCGTCGCTGTTTCTCATAATCTGTCGTATTCATTGATGGGTATAATTGTCATATGGCATTGTGACTGTTAAATCTTCCTTATTATTGTTTCGTTGGGTCAAATGCCGTAAACTTCATTGATCTCGGACCGCTTTTTGACTGAACAGCAAAATAACCGACCAGTGCGACCACCGCCAATAAATGGCGTTAGTCATGAAATGGAACGCGACAACGGCTCAAAATCTGTCAGCACTTTCGGTATCTAATTTCGCCACACCAGCTTTCCTACGGCCGTACAACGCCACCTTTGGAACGCCCGGATCAATCAGCCGTATTAGCATTGGGATACTGGCCGTGATGTGCAATTTTTTCGCGCTGCTGTTGACGATGACCAATGCATCGCTTCGGACACCGTTCAACATCTATGTCATAGCTTTGATGTGCAGCAATATAGCGTTTGTGTGTGTTAACTGTACACTCAACGCCGTGGAGGACGCATACGGGCCACTCTGGGTGGGCAACTTCCTGTGCACCCTCCGCATGTATTCCTTGCATGTCTTCGTCTCTATGATCTACCACTATCATTTACTGATCACACTGAACCGCGCCTGGGCGCTATTCGGACCCGTCACCTACCGTGCTCGGCATAATCGCGCTATCGCCGGCACATTGTGCGGCGCTGTGGTCATCTACGTGCACATTGTTATGCTCCCGCAGTTGATACTTGATCACCTTTATTATCGTCGACCGCTGGAAAAAGGCTGCCGGCTGAATACCGATCGCCAATTTATCCTGACAGAATTTACGTCCATTTGGATGTTTGACGTACCTTGTGTGGCTATTCCTCTCGCCTATCCGTTGTTACTATGGAAAATGCTATCCCGACGACGTGGATCTAAGCAGGTAAACGTAAACAATACACCTGCACAATGCGAACCGGAAGAGAAGCAGGAAGCTTTGCACCGTCCCTTCAAACTGCTAACGTTGTACACGTGTGGCACGATGGTGTGCTGGCTGCCGAGTATGTGCTACTATATTATTATCAGCAAATATCCCAGTGTCCAGTGGCCACCCGGTGTGCACCAAGCCACGAACAATCTGCAGAACATGCAATCGATCCTGGATCCGCTTTTTTTCTTTCTCCTCGTCGGCGACGTGCGGCATTATGCACTTCGTCTGTGCAAAGGAATAACTATGCGAACGAGCAAGAAATAATCTACGTCTTGATGTCAACCAGTACCAATATAATACAGCTCCGTTACCAGCTGTCCTTGATTTGTGGAACCACCACTGCAGCGCATTGGTTATGATGGCGTCATAACATGGCTGCATGCTCTAGCCAAACGGCTCCAATATGCTATCCTTTGGCTTTTTATTTACAACTGTTTCCGACTGCGACAACTGTTGTACTCGTACTATGGACTATGGTCGCGCTAACAGTATTGGCACGCTATGCCTATACTTTGTGCTTGCATCGTTGTGTTCATACGGTTTACCTGTTCTTATCTTCCGAATCTGATTGCTAATTTCATCAGAAATCTGTGTGTGTCAATTCGTCTTTGTGTTGGTCGGAGTCTTTGAGGATTTGTACGCATATTAAATAGCTTGTGTGAATATTTCATAGTGTTGACTAGAGAGTCTGTAAGCACATATTAGTGTGTGCACATATTACGGATTCATTATTTAATCTTTATGGGTTTCTGAGCGAGCATCCTGTGGCGAACGTACAGTAATAGTGGGTAGATGCAAGAAGTCACATAAGAATCCGGATAATAAAATTATCCAGGTATTATCCGTGAGCGCGGGAGTAAATCATCGTTCCAAGCAGAGCTTCTCACTGTACCGAGTGTATAATTATGCAATCTGGTACGGCTTCGTTAACGTTTTCTTTGTGGCGTATAATCATTAATTCACCGTAAGCAAGTTTTACGCAGATGTATATGTTACGTAAAACCCGAGGCAAAAAATACATCCACCGTAGAAGCCTGGCGTGATCGGAAGATCAAAGCGCAGCGGTTGCGATGTTACAACTAATCACGGTACACAGCAATGCATTTAAACTTTTCGCCCATCTAAGTACACCATACCTCGGCAACCGAATGTTGCGCGCGCAAACAGTTTTCAGAACAATGTGTACAAATCATTAAGCTTTGGAATGACATCAAGTACATACTGCAAAAAAAAAGTGATTCGGACTGCGCGAAAGCGAAAGTTTTAGTGTATGTTTCCCATTTTTGACACCCTGTACCGGGCCATTTTCCTTAAATGTACAGACTGCATGTGCATGGAAGTCCACGTACGGAACAAGCTTATTATGAACTGATTCCGAGTAATCGATTGTCTAATTTGTTACAAATAAAGAGAAATTATGGTTTGGCACTTGTTTATAAGTCGTAACGAACTTCTACGCAGATGTATACGTTATGTTATGCTATGCTGCTTTTGTATCTCCAAGCCGCTTCGAATATTTCTTTTCTTTACCAACACAGACTTGGCGAATATAATCTTGCTTTCCATCATGCTTAACATGTTTTTCGTATCCGTATCTAAAACATGTTAAACTGAGACAAACTGCATACGTAACAAAAAAATATGATGCGCGAGAGGCAAACCAAGAACCTGCGTGGACTTCAAAATGCAGACAACTCGTAGAAAGATGATAGTCGCGATTACTAATCGTGGAAAAAATAGTATTCGCTCAGTTATGTACGTTGGTATAGCAAAAAAACAGCATTTTTTAATGTTGTACCCTAGGAGTCTCCATGCCGAACACAGATTATGTTGACAAAATGTTATTTTTTGGCAAATCATAAGTTGTGATAGCAGAGCCCTTTTATCATGTTACACATCTGTTTCTTGTTTGGTTGACATTTTTTGCCATTATGCGGCGTACATTTTCTGGGATTACGCATTCAATCTGTTATAGAAGTTCAATGAATTAGATTGAACTTTCCAGTTCCAAATGCGACTTTACACATCATGAGACTTTACACCAAATGCGCATCCTCACCACAAAGTGCCGGCCCGCGCTTAAGCTCGGACTTGGACTCGGACTTGGACTTCTAAAACTTGGACTTGGACTTCACTTGGACTTGGACTCGGACTTCACTTAAAATTGGACTTGGACTTTACTTGGGCTCTGAAACTTGGACTATATGACTTAAACTTCGATTTAGGCGTTTCTTTTGTTTTCCAACGTTTCTTCAAGGTTTCTTAGGTTTCTTAGGTTTCTCAGGTTTCTCAGGTTTCTTAGGTTTCTCAAGTTTCTTAGGTCTCTTAGGTTTCTTAGGTTTCTTAGGTTTCTTAGGCTTCCTAGGTTTCTTAGAATGCTAACCAAAAAAATCTTAGAAACCTCAGAAACCAAAGAACCCGAGAAACCTAAGAAACCTGAAAAATCTAAGAAACCTAAGAAACATTTAAGAACACCTAACAATAACCTAAGAATATCCTAAGAATTACCCAGGAATATCCTAAGAATAACCTAGAAGTATCCTAAGAATAACCTATGAAACCTAAGAAACCTGAAAAACCTAAGAAACCTAAGAAACCTTGAAGAAACGTAAGAAAACAAAAGAAACGCCTAAATCGAAGTTTAAGTCATAAAGTCCAAGTTTCAGAGTCCAAGTAAAGTCCAAGTCCAGTTTTAAGTGAAGCCCGAGTCCAAGTCCAAGTGAAGTCCGAGTTTTAGAGTCCAAGTGAAGTCCAAGTCCAAGTTTTAGAAGTCCAAGTCCGAGTCCAAGTCCGAGCTTGAGCGCGGGCCCAAAGTGCCAGGTACAAGTACATATGAGTATTCGGAAACATACGTGAATTCTTCACAGCAATTAAAGCAGACTTTACAGAAAATTGCATCATTATCTCAGGGATTTTTAATGCGGCTGGCAGCAATTTGGGAGAATAGGAACACGCAGTATCTGTACTCATTTTATTAATTTTATGATGCTGCTTTTTTCGTTTGGACAAAGTATTTACTTCAAGATTTAAGACCATACCTGCAATCTGGAATGGAAATGGAACTTCGTACACAGTTAACGTCTAGTTGCCTGCAAACGGCTGAGTACTGCCAGATTCAGTTTCAGAATACTGTTTGGACAAGTGCACTGAACCGTTTAACGTCAGAGGTCAGTGAGCGCTCCCCTTTAGTTCGAGCATTTTACAGCTGCTACGACCGTGTGTAATTTCAGAAATGCAACGGACTAACAGTTCAGTCGGCAAAACAAAACAGTAAACAGCACATGCAGGTAACAGTTGTAGTATGTAAGTAATCAAGGGAGTTACTAACGAACAGGAGGCTGGAAATGTGGCGGTCAAACAATGGTAAGACGGAACATAGGTGAACGCTCACAATCACTCAACATTAGGCTACATCCGTCCTTTATGAACAAAAATAAACACTTCTGCATTCATTCGGCCACTATAAGCTTCCCGTTCAGCCTTTCATGGGCTTTGCAGTTTGCGCAATGAACTGCGAAATGCAGTGTGCATCAGGGGACGAAGATTGCAGTAATCGTTGCAGTCATGCCAATATTGTCAATCCACAAGTGATTCTGATGCAGTGCGAACTAGTCACCTACGAGGTTCGCGTTATTGTGCAACGCTAACCACCTCGACGATTGCACTGTCATTTTTACACCGGTAGTCAGTTCATGGTTTAAAAGCAGATGAAATGCAAGGCATCCTATGTCAGTTGTATACTTAAAATAATAATATATTGGGCTTTCCTTAACACAACACTGATCTTTCAGACTTTCCAACCACACTTACTAGCATTAAATAATTTGTAGTAATTACCGGATTCTTTTATGGACCACCCAATGCACCGCGTTAACAAACAACGCAAATGGATTCCAAAGCGATAACTGCTAACAAACTGTCGGCTTCCTTGACCCAGGAAATCAACATCACAGGATGTATTCTGACGCCGTACAACGCATCGTCGGGACACCATTTATCAGACACCCTCGTTACCACCGGAACAGTTGCCCTGATGTTTAACTTTCTAGCACTGCTGCTAACGCTAACCAACCAATCAATGCGGACACTGTTTAACATGTACGTCATCGCTTTAATGCTTAGCAATATGGTGTTCGAGTGTGTGGATCGCACATTGCTCGTCCTCACCGACATGTACGGTGCCGCTTGGTTGGGCAGTTCCCTGTGCACATTACGCCTCTATTCCTTGTATGTCATCGTCCCTATAATCTACCATTATCATCTGTTGATCACCATAAATCGCGCCTGGGCACTGTTCAGTCCGGTTTCCTACCGTGCCCAGCACAACCGCGCCATCGCTTGCTTATTATTTGGCGCTGTGGTCGTGTATGTGCATATTGTCATGCTCGCGCAAATGGTACGCGATCACCTGTACTATCGTCTCCCGCTGGATGAAGGCTGCCGACTCAATACGGATCTCCAGTTAGCTTTGACGGAATTCACGTCCATCTGGATGTTTGATGTACCATGTGTGGTAATTTATGTCGCCTATCCGTTTTTACTGTCGAAGATCATATCCCGACGACGGACCAGACCGGGTGCTTATACAACCAAACAGGAAGCCTTCAATAATCCCTTCAAGTTGCTGACACTCTACACGTGCAGTACCGTAGTGTGCTGGCTGCCCTGTATGTGCTATTATACTATCATAGGCAATTCCACTATCCAGTTGAGCCCTGTCGTTTTTCAAGTCGCGTCCAGTCTGTACAACGTGCAGTCAATCCTGGATCCGCTGTTCTTCTGTCTCATCGTCGGCAATGCACGGTCGTATGTATTAGGATGTTGCAAAAGAACGAGTAATACGTCTGCCCTGGTGCTGCCAGCGCTTACCCGCTAATAGACATTACGGATGGCCAGAAGAATTCGAAATCCTACGCTACGATACTGTTGATAAAGCGGCATGACTGATTGTAACTGAATACCTGTTCATGTGCTGAATTTTACAGGTGTAACTTTCTTGATCCTCTGAAATACGGTACCTGTATCTGCGTTGTAGTAGCGACAGCTTCTGCGCTTCATTCTTATGTGCTAATTTTTTTGCCGTCTGTTTTCTTGTCGCCATAGCTTAATTTCGTCGACTGAATGTCTTTGCACGCGGATCGCACTTTAGAAATTGTTTAGGGAGTCGTTTCAAGGTGTTGACTTTCCTCTTCTCGGGTTTGTCTGCTTTGCGACCGTGCTGTCTGCTACCGATATCTGTAAGGCTTTGACATTTAACAAAAATTTCTGCTGTTCTGCGAAACGTTTCGATTAAACACTCACTACAACTTCGGTTCGTTAAAAATGGACATAGAAAAATTTATACTGCAGTTGACTTGATTTACGTGAATTTGTTAGTTTTCTATATGTTTCAAGTTTTTTACCCGCCCAGCGTATTACCGCTTTTTGTGTCAAAGAGCCACTGTTATGATGTAATGGACTGAAAACCACTGTTTCCTAGTGTTAGGAAGATACAGTATGCGTAATTAAACTATTCGTGTAACCTATTAAAAACTACAAGGAAATTTCCGGCCTCGCGTGCGGTTTCGTTGTGGTCCGTGGTTTTCCCTGATGAAATAAAATTGATATGCAGACTTGTTAGCTTCAGAAGGTAAAAGATATGGCTTCTTGATTATTCAAAACAAGATCATTTGACAAAATCTGACTCAAGCAAAACACTGAAGATGCCGTATCAACAAAAGTTAAAAATCCTAGTGCAGAAGGCAGCTGTGAAACACCGATTCGTCCACTGTGCAGCCATGCCGCTAACGCCTGCTTCGTATTATGACGGTACTGTAGCTACTGCGTTCGGATTTCCCATGCCACCCGTGGCAGCCGTGGGCTGCTGACCGGTGTCCGTAGAAATGCCGACTTGATTATCACTCGCTACTTTGAAAAATCGACGTGCATACTTCCGCACGTTGCCGACGGTGAGACAGAAGAACCCCGGATCCAGGATCGATTGCACATTGTACAAGGTGGACGTCACTTGGAACACTATGGGGCCCATCTGCATAGTGGAATTGCTGAGAATGGTATAGTAGGCCATACTCGGCAGCCAGCATACCAGGGTGCTGCATGTGTACAGCGTCAGCAGTATGAAAGGACGGTGGAACGCTTCCTGCCTTCCCTCGGGGCAACGTGGTTCAGGAGCATGGTTAACCGCTCTAGTCGCTCGTCGCACTGACAGCATCTTCCACAGTAAAAATGGATATGCGACATAAATGACCACACAAGGCACATCGAAAATCCAAATGGACGTGAACTCGGTCAGAATAAACTGGCGGTCGGTATTGAGTCGGCATCCCTTCTCCAGCGGTAGACGATAGTACAGATGATCGAGTATCAGTTGCGGCAGAATAAACGCATGAACATAGACTACCACAACGCCGCACAGTGTTCCGGCGGTGGTGCGATTATGCCAGTTACGGTAGGATACGGGTGCGAACAGAGCCCAGGCGCGGTTCAGCGTATGATAGCGGATGATAGTGGATGAATCAGCAGATGATAGTGGTAGATCAGAGGGGCGAATACATATAAAGAATACAGGCGTAATGTGCACAGGGGCTTGCCCAGCCAAGATGGGCCGTATGCGTCGGCGAGGGTCAGCAATGTACGGTCAACACAAACAAACACCACGTTACTGCACATTAAGGCGACGACGTACATGTTGAACGGTGTGCGCAGTGAGGTCTTAACCAGCGTTAAAAGCAGCGCAAGGGCATTACACGTCAGGGCCAGTATGCCGGTGCTAATGAGACTTGCTGATAAGGGGCGTGCGGATGGTGCATTGTACAGCTGTGGGAAAGATCCCGTGATATTGGTATAGGGCTTTAAAACGGCCGGTAGATACTGGTTGCTTTGGAGAGTGGTTGCATTGGAGTCCATATTTTGCCGGTCAAGAATCACCCCTGTATTCTCTCCAATAGATACGGCATGAATGACCGTCGAGCAATTGGGAAACAAAACGGATTAACGGTTACAAAGCTTTTCGGTGGTAGTTGAATTTGTAGCGTGTAATGGAATAAAAGTGAGCATGAAAGAGCAACCAATACTTGGATGAAGCTCACACAACGCAAACCGAAAGGAGTGCGTGCTGCACGGTAATTATTTGTGGATTAAAAACCTCAGTTGAGCTGCACAGGTTACTGCAATTTTCTGCTTATGCCTTACAATCCATTTCTCAGCTGACTGCATAAATTGCAAAATGCATCCGCAGGTAAGCTTAAGCTGTACAGAGTATCCTTTAGAGGAGGTATTTCAGTCTCATAATTACTAAATTTGTATATTTTTCCCAGAAAGCGGAAGTCTGTTTGAGTGATCGAAAGCGGTCACCACTCACCAGTGTTTCATTTTACTACTGTTTGTCCGTTCCACGCTTGTTTAACAACTTGCTGCATGGCAGCTTCTCGGATTTCTCACAACTGCACATTTCAACCAAAACTGCTTAGATAAATCGAGATTGTTTGTTAAAGGTATTTTAACGAATGCCCAGAATCTCAATGGTGGAATCCTGGGACAATACTCGTTTAGCAAAATAAAGGTGACCCATGGAGAAATTGGCTATATTCATGACTTCGTTTTGTACACTTATGTCGATTTCCCTTTCTTTTTCCATTGTACAATATACAGTATGTTTGTTTTCTCCTTGAACATTTACACCAATTTAACTACTATCTCACAAATTACAAAAGCAACTTGGATCGTTTTCTTCTATAAATTTACTGTAACACGGTAGAGTTTTCCTGTATAAATCTGCTAAACTGACACGCTCCATTTGCTGTTACATAGTTTTATTGGTAAACCGAAGCCGGATTCGTTTTTGCTTGCCTACTAATCTTCGTCACAGCTGTGCTGAGTAATTTTTTTTGCTCAAATTTTTCTCACAATTTTTAAATGATTGTTCAACTTTTTGGAAATGTCAAGGAACGATGACGGATAACGGTAATGCTGTCCAAGCCCACATGTTGGTCGCACTGTGAGAAATATCGTATTCTGCGCTGCAGCAAACCTTTTACTTCACTTCCATGGTGTACGTGAATTGCTTTAATTTCCAATCGGTTGATAGCGAACAATTCAATTCAAAGATAATATTTATCGTGGGAGAATCTTTGTCTTAGTTAGCCATAATTTTGCAGCAGCAGGATTAGTCATGTTATACAACTGAACAAAGGATCAGCGATTTCACAGGAATGAAACCTTGCCATAAGGGCGCCCTGTAAATGCGTTAATGCTGTTATAATTGCCGACAAGGCATTTGGAATTTGATACGATGTTTACATAATAATACCCGGTTCCATTCGGCACGAATATTTGTGTCTTGTTGGCATAAGGCCGGTAATGCGCAGCTAAATTTTGATCCCATTTTTAACCGGGATAATTGTTTTTGAAAAATTCAAGTTTTCTTACCGGTCCGTCCCGTTTTGCACACGGTTAAACAGTGAAAATGTGACTTGTCATGTACCATGCAACTGTCACTTTGTAGAAAACATTGTTATCACGAGAATATCTCTTTGCATGTGTGGGTCGGTTTTTTATGTTGCCCAACCGGCCCCAACATGAATAAACTTTTGATAATCAACAGTTTAAATTTCAAATGCAGCTTTTAGTCTCCAGTTGAAAACTGAATGAGAATGCAAACGTTAACGAAAACAAAATCATAGGCTGCACATGCGACAGTAATTACGACGATGCAAGTAACCGATCATTTATCACAAAATAAAATATTACGAACATCAACCACCCTTGGTAGCCAAAAATTAATATTCAACTCATTGCGAACGTGTCTCATATAATTATGTCGAAATACGGGGTTTCTCTGCAAACACCATCTGTAACCGTATGAACCATTCGGAAGTAATTTGTACTTACAGTGTACGTCTACATTTTTCCGACATAAAGAACAGCACGGAACAGTATATGAGTACTTTATTTGTATTGCGTAATGTTCAAAAGTGGAAACCTCCATTATAGGTATCACATATGTCATATGTACAGATATTTTACAGGAAGCTTCTTTTTATTCACTTAGGTAACAGTCCCGTGGTTGTTTTGAACCATCCGCTTATTAGGAAAAGAGCTTTCTTATTTTACGTATGAAAGCTAAAAATTCCATTTAATCTCACAAAAATTAATTAAACAGTGACCTTTGAAATGTTTTTGAAATCTAGAGATATGTCCGTAATGTGATAGTGATATGTTATAGGGTTCGTCTCAAATTTGAACTCAGGCTCACTCGATGCCGCGAATCCGTCTTTTGAGCTGGCCTCGCAAGCAATATTTGTGGACATAGCCACTGCGTTCCGCGGCCTCGTGCGGTTGAACAACCATACTGAATCTGACTTCGCTTTGAATACGAGAGACGCCCGTAATCACATCGCTCAAAGGGCAGATAAACAAAAAATACGCAGCGTCTTCCTTATAGGAACCGTGCGTCACAAACCAGAGAAGTAATTCAAGGAGCCACAAATTGCATTTTTCCATCTGTTTCTCGCTGCAGAAAATTATCCCGTGCTCGGCCGAAATGCAATCATAATCGCAAGCTGATACCGCAGTTACTTCAGCCTATAATTACACTGGAAACGATATAATGTTTGTGCATTGCCGTTCGGTAAGGTTTGCTGAAGATTCATCAGACGGTTTTATTCAGCCCATTAAATTTACCCAGCAAAACTGGCCATGAATCCGCTGAACAACGCTTCTTTTCTATCATCTTTGACCAATGTCACAAAACCATCCAGACCGACATTGCCAGCCTCTGATGTCGTCATCTGGATGTCTGTCTACTTCACTCAGTGTTTTGGCGGTGGTTTATTGAACATTTTAGTGGTGTGCTTAATTCTAGGACACCGGCGTCTAAGAACGGGCTGCGGTTTGTTGATAGCCCATTGCTTGATTGCCCATACGGCTTTGTGCATGCTTTTCTTTCCCTTATCGACAATTACAGTGTACGGGCGCCTCGTGGCACACTGGGACTACGACGCTAGTGCTTACTGCAACACCTTTATGTTTCTGCAGGTGAGACGTACTACAGTTTCTTGATAATAATTCTTAACAACATATGAACATAATGCCCAAGAGAATGTGATTAATTTTATTAAGTTAGGGACAGGGTAACAGTGTTAAAACGGTTTTTGGCTTCACTTGTAACATTTTTATTAAATCGGTTTCGTTATTTTAGTTCAGTGATGGAGTCTGTTTAAGCTCCTACAGTTCCGTACGGTTTTTGGCATAACAACGAATTAGTGAGTTAAAAAACGATAACTCTTTAATGAAAATCCAATTTTTATCCGATTTTTAAAATTATTGTTTACTTGTTTTTATTAACACTGCAGGACATTTTATCAACCGCTCGTAGATATTTATTAATAGATATTTATTATTATATTCCGTGATTAAAACATTAGAATAAATTAATAGGTCGCTACACGACACGTCAGCAACTGGCTGGAGGTATACGTGGCCGCCAATCGTCTCGTGGCACTGTGTTTTCCGTTCAAATACCGTAACTTCGCCAAAGAAAAACTGGAAAACGAGATTGTAGCCGTTATCTGGTTTCTCGGTTATGCACTGGCCTTCCTGGGAATCTACGAAATAGGCACATACTATTTCTCGCTGCCCAACGGCGCCTGTGGCTACCTGCAGAAAACATCCTGGGGGATGTTGACCTTTGTCGCCGGCAACTGGTTGCCATTAGCCATCGCTGCTGCCGGCTACGCCATTATCTACATTCGGATGCTTGCTAATAATTTCAAACGACGACGAACCTTCGCCCTGGAAAATGCCAGTCAACAGGATCGGAGTGCGGAGAAGAGTCGGCTGAGCAAGGCCAACATGGTGTTTATGGCGTTCTTCTGGAATTCCGTCTGCTATCTCGTGTTCCCGGTGATGACGGCGGTGGCGCCACAGATTCCCTTTCGCATCCCTGTGGTACCGTTGGCCATGGGCAATGTACAAATTCTGGGTTACACTACTAATCCGGTATATAATAATTATATTTCTTATATACGTTCGCTTGCACAAGATAATACTCGTTCTTATTGCCGCCCACACAGTAGGATTAAAATTCAGAAATCAGCCAATCCAATCCTCTGTTAGAAAATTTGCTAATAAATCAACAAATATTCAGCAAAAGGAGCACATTCGGTGGGTATATAACGCCAGGAGCGGTTTCGAACAGAGAAGCCTCGTTTAGTATGCCTTAAAACATGTATAATTACAATCCAAGCATGTAGAGTTATCATTCCAACAATGTGCTGATTGTCTATGCACTTGCAGCTGGTTTTTCTTGCGATGAGTGGGGAATACAGAAAGGAATTACGCTTGGCTTGGACCAGGATCTGCAGTCATGTTCCGCGCATACGAATCCAACTGGAACGAGGGCCGGTGCGCCCGCACAGTACACCGGGAAACACATCGAACAATACTGGACAGTCCAATCCTGCAAATTTCAACAGCCAGTTTTCCGGATCCGTTTGATCTGTCTACTGTATTAGCTATATGACAGTTTGTCATACCACACTACCACAGTATACCGCTCTTAGAATCGTTAAGTTCACTTCACTAACTTGTGTTATATCGCCTGCTAAACAACGGTTCTGTTAACAAAAATTAGGGGGGGGGGTGCGCATAGATTTGGCCTTGATAGCAAAAATGTTGCTCTTACTTTACGGCAACAAAATTAAAATTTTTTAAGCCGACGTAATGCTTCGTGCGCCTGCTGTTCTGAGATGGTGGTGTCTTGTACTGAAGCTACGTACATTTAGATAGAAGACACATACTGGGTGAGACAAAACACTGTGTTAGCAAAAATACCACACTCCACAACCATGAATAACAATGCATCTTCTTAAAAGAAGGTTTTATGATTACAGTGCGCCGGTTCTCTTGGGTAGTTTTATAGTTCACCCTCGTCTTTGTGAGGTCTCAAAGTTTAGAGTGCGATCACGTACTTTTGTAGTACACTGATTGGATTTGCATAAGCGACCATTCTTGACACACTAAAAAGTTGTTAGTTCTTTAGTTTTGTGTAAGGTGTACATAACTTGGTTCTAAGGTTATTGTGGTTCTAAGGTTATTGTGATGGCTGTTAGCGAGGTATGCATTCCAGTTTATAGGCTCGTAGAATGACAGCCGAAATGTGAGCCGGTCGAAGTGAGCGCCGGCCGAAGTGAGCGCTGGCCAAAATGCACTGCGGCCAAAGTAAACGGCGGCCGAAGTGATTGACGGTCGAAAGACTTTGGCCGGAATGATCGTAGTCGAAATGAATACTGCCGAAGTGATCGGTAGCTCTAATATGACTAGCGAGTGTGTCAGCATGCCGGCAAGTGATTACGTGCTTGGTTCACTTATGGTTGTGCGGTGGTTCTATGGTGGTTTACTGGCATAGAACCATTGAACCACTAATGTCCTAACTCGGACATTCTCTCGAGAGGGGAAAGGAAAGCGGAAAGCGGAAAGAGAGGAGAGGGGAGAGAGAAGAGAGGGGATGTGGAGAAAGGGGAGAGAGAAAATGAGATCATACATCGGTTTGAGACTCTCATCGGTTTATTTGTTCCCATTCCGGACCTTAGTCTGTATCATTTTGGAAAGTTGTTTGCATGAAAGAGAGATATCATGAAAGTTAATGCAGAGGCTGTAAATAAGGGTGCGAGCATAGAATAGAATTACAAACAATCGCAAAGTCGCAAACGATACTGTTGCTTTCTTTTGATCAGTTCAAATGAAGTATTGTGACTGCATTTTTTATTTCACCAGACACTAATTCATTACAGATAAAAAAACAGTAGCAAAAATATTGTTTTGTATTACAGTATAAAGTATCTTGCTTTGGTGCATCGTATTTATCAGGAAGACAACTAAAAAGCACAAGAAAATCACAAAGGAGGAACAGAATAGTCAACATAGAAGTTGCTGAGCAGACGAGGACAGAAAAAGGAAAGTATTAGAAGGACAAGGATCACGTGAACCTAGTATGCGACAACCCGGAGTAGATCACTGCAGTGACAGAACGCTCATTTATGATACGCAACAAGAAGACCAGATCGGACCGTACCGTTAGAATTGTCCGGCTAGCATGTATATGTATTGTACATGTACCAGTACCCTATAATAATATTATGTGTGTGTGTGTATCAGGCTGCAATAACAGTTAAATGTATCAGCCTGCATTCACGCATACTGATTACATGAGCGTTGTCATTACACTTACCTCCTGTGCCACCGTTTGCCGTACTTCTAACACTGCATTTTAGTGCCGGTTTTGGCTATCTGCTTTAAAGGCGTTAAACGTAAAACTTACAGCAGCCGCAATCCACCATTCAAACCCATAATCTAAAGATCTTAATACTACCGCATATAAGCCCCATTTTATTTTCTTAGTTCGGCTTTTAAATGTTACGAGCACGATATCAGGTAACTTGTTCGTTGCGAGTGCAGATAGCTATCACTAAAACGATAAAACTGGCACTGAATGACCAAGTGAAAGCTTTGATCAAAACTTTCAGCACGATTAGCTTGCAGATTATAAACGTCTGCAAACGTCCCTTCAAATCAACAAATGCTGCCGTCGGCAATAGTGGGCAACAAGTTCGACGCTACCGATAACCGGCACACTGGATGTTCCACATATAATATACTATATGCAAGCACTATGCATTTCCATTCCGTTCTGTTAATCATCGTTATGCGACTTGTTGCAACATTGGCTGGTCCGTCCCAGTCCGTACTTTTTATGAAGTTATCGATTTTTACTGCAATAACGTATTTATTAATATCTTTTCCTTCTATAATATTTATTTAAATACATCCGTATATTATTTTTAAGTATTAAGTTTTTCCTACTCAAATATTTATTTATTAATCTCTTATTTTATTTTATGTTGATTGATTTTATATATTTCTGTATTGATTTCTTAAAATTGTTATTCATTCATGGTTTTGTAGATCCTTCCAGCGAACCGGAAGTCGAATGTAGCCAACCATCAGCTTCCCCTCCACCTCCCGATCAGCCACTTCCGGCAGGAAAAAGCCTTCCGCACGGATAGATTGACGCGAGCGGAATGTCAGTCCTACGTCGCTTGGACGAACAGCAGAACGACTCTTTGCATTCCGCTTCAGTTCCATTTAGATTGCGGCGATGACGGCCGGCCGGGATCGCTTGAATTTGCCGGGACGTACCTCCGTGCCAACTGTCCGGGTGAGAATCGCCGCGACACCACCCGCCTGACCAGGCACATCCGCCGGTTCAGCCCCGACCGTGCAATGATTCTCCTGTTGAGCGAACGCACCGATGCCGACGATCCGGTGCACTTTGGCGTCATCAGCTAATCGAGTTGGAAGTAACGTCCTGCTTTACGCCGGATGTCACGGCCAAAATTCACGCTGCCGGGGCACTTCCGGAGCTGGTGACGTTGATCTTGGAACTCGGCCGGAATCTGGTCATGAAGAAGCAGCACTTTGCCGGGATGCGGCAAGTACGAATGATCCGCTTGTACGCCTGCACGATCGCTTCACTGGAAGCCTACACCTTCACCGATCTGCCCAGCCTGGACAGTCTGGCGTTGGAGAATGGACTGGGGTTTGATTTGCAGAGACTACAGAAAGATTATCAGGCCCAAGACATGCTACCAGTTTTTCTGAATCAAGCTGACTTTGTCATCGTGCGTCGTCTACACTGCGACTGCTCGCTGGCGTGGTTACGCAACTTTTTGAAGCGCAAGCCACACTTGACTGCATCTAAGAAACAAGGCCAGGTGGCGGTCATTGGGATCTACATTACGCCGTCGGTTGGGCACTACTGGGATGAGTGGCCACATATTTTCAGTGTGGATTGTTCCCGGGACCTGGCGTACGATAACATCCGCGCTGGCACACAGTTTTCGTACAACACGTCTTGTCATACTGCGGCGCAGTGCTAGTGGCGGTCGCCGTTCTGCTAGGTACAAAGGCGGCACATTCTTGGACTACTAATTATTTTAATATGCAATAGCCATCAAAGTAACGAGCAGTACAGGCGCAGGCATACTACGTCACTGTTAAAATTTAAACATTAAAAAAATCTCTATCCACCCGTGGGTTAAAAGGTAACTTACTTAATACAGCCGTAGCATTTCCCTTAATATCAGCCAAACTCAAACGTTGTTCAAGAAAAGCAGTAGGACGTGCTTCTCCGGTCAAGTCACGAATTTTCCGGCCCATGAAGTGCAACAATTCGCTTAAAACTGGATCGAAACACTAAACGTGTCAACTAGAGAATAGAAAAAGTATCGGTTTTCTAAAGAGGCGTACTTCTGTCGCTTCGCGCTTTCTGCTTGGTGGGCCGCACTGCCTGCCTTCTTCGAGCTACCGTGGACATGAGAATCGGTTGTCGCATCCCACACTATCCAGATTCCTTGCCGGACAGGGATCAGTGTCCTACAAGACCTGGTGGAAGCATCAGTTCTTGTCCCGTTGCTGTATAAGCCCGCAGGTTCCAACTGGCACGCAAAACCTGCACTTTCGCAGCAGCTTTTTGCGATACTTTTCATTTCTTTGTGTCATGCCGAACGTCCTTTTTTTGATTTATTGCAAGATAGCCCATGATGGCTGTTTATTTCTACAGGTTTTCAACATGCAACGGAATTATGCGCAGTAACTGCTGGCAATTCAAAGCGCAAGGCTACTCCTGTTCTTACTTCTTCGTCTCGCAAGAACGTCCCCAGGCATGGTGCCGGCAGCACGTTCAACCATACTACTGAATCTCTGCTGAACGCTGCTAATAACACTGCTCTCCTACGCTCATCGCCGACCTTTGACGAAATTAGCGTCGACACATTTCTGTCAATCAAGGGTGTGTCCCATACATACCGGCACCTTCGCATTCGCGGCTCGCATTCTTCTGCAACATGCACTTGGTGTTCAGTAACGAGCCCTCTAAAGCTGATAGCATCAGACATTCGCCAGCCGGTGCGCAAAACCTGGAAACGAGAGACTACACACTGCCACAGAGTACATTGATGCCAGAAAGGCACAAACAGATACTGACTCAGTGCGTCGCGTTCATAATCCACCACGCCGAACCGGTAATGCCATCTGCATCCACTGGGCTTCGGATATGCTCACGTTGGATAACTGCTCCACGCCCTTACGTAACAAGCCCGATGTTTTCCCAGGTGGTCACAGCAAAGCTACTGCATGCATGTTGAAGGGTGTCCGCAAGGATGTATTGGTCAGCGTATAGAGCAGCGCCAGGGCATTTAACGTCAAGGCTAGTATCCCGGTGCTGATGAGACCAACTGGTACCCGACGACCTGTTGGAGAATGATAGGTTGGATATTAGGGTGTGATTGTGGTATGTATATCGGTAGGGCCGACAGATTCTGAACGGATGTCGCGTTATAATCCATTGGTTAGAGGATTTATGAAGAATGGGTTTCGCCTAATAGTAAAGTTCAAAACTAAAACGCTGGTGCATGATTCGGACAGAAAGAAAAGCGAAATCCATCATTTCTTTGAACATACCGTGTATTACAGCAGAAGAAGAAAAAAAAAAAGAAGTAAAAATTTACAGCAGAAGAAAGAGCGTAACCAAAACCGTGATAAATTTCACTTAAAAAAACCGGAAAAATTATAACAAGTTCGTGTTTCGTCATACGCACTTACCTTGTGGATTGATGACATCGCGGCAGAAATTTGCTTCTCTTTCCACATTTATGTATATTTCAGTTCATTGCATGCAATGGAAAACGTTACAGAAGCTATGACTCCATTGAACAAACGCAGCAAGACTTGGTGTCATTCATTGCGATCGAATAAGCTGCAGATTTCTAATCATGGAGCGGATGGGGTATAGCGTTGGCTGATTGTGAACGTTGACCACTGTTCTATCACAGTTGTTTGTCGGCCATATCTCCAGAGTGCTCTCCGCCGACTGTTTCCTGCATTTCTTAAACTTTTGACTTTTTAAAGTATTTTGGCTGCAACAAATTGTTGCTCAAAGTGTCGTGTATGTTCTAACAATAAAGTGCACGGTCGCAGCCGCTGGACATCACTCCAGTTCATACAAAATTATAAAGAGCTCGTTGATCTCCGGTGCGTGTTAAAGGTTTTCGAACGTCCCCTTAACGTTCAACTGGGCGTATAAACTTTTCTCCAATGGGAAATCCGCCTAGCGAAAAAGTGAGCCTTATCTATTTTTCTTCCAAAATTCGGAGCTGCGAGCCATTGTGTTCTGTGACTAACGATGTAGGTATAATTTATTATGCCTCGAGTTTTCCACCGATTGGGCCATCTGCAAATATTGCGTTCAGGGATTTGATAGTCAGCGACGTTGATTAAAACATTGGCTGTAGTTAACGAAAGGATTTGGGCAGAAAGTCGGTAAAAGGGTTTTCAGAAAATTGATTGCAAGGGAATTAGGGTAAACTTCGGTATATTAATATAACTGTAACGATTCGATAGATTTACGGGAATCCTCCTGCAAGCCACATATTAACTTCCGGTTAAGCAGTGGCCATGGGAGCGCACGTAATTCCCGTAGTAAGGTTCACTTGACGCACCCATAAGAGTGGCAGTTATGTATTTCTTCTGCAGTTATGTATTTCTTCACAGCAAAAATGTGTGCTGGTGTCGGCATTGCTACGCAGAACACTGCATTCTCCTGTCAAATACTCCCATAGCCGATTAACTCATCTCGGTGAAAAGAAGAGGTGCAGTTTGAAAACCCGTTACACCCAAAGACGTATGCCTCACAGGACCGGCCCCGCTGATAATATTTACAAACATGCCAGGGAACGCTAAAACGAGGAAATCGACCGGTCGGGCCGCGATTAAGAAAATAATCAAAAAAGAAGGTGCAACAGCAACGCATCCGATGCGCGAACACCCCATGCATAAGGATAATAACATAGAGACAGTCACTCCTACGTAATAATTATGCGCCGAACTGCCAGTGTCCAAAGAAAATGGTTTCGGAGAGAACATAAACGGTAATTAGCAGAAAAGGAATGAAATTTTTCAAACTGTAATTATCATCGTATAGCTGCTAGAGTTGTAATACATGTTGTATGTTGGAGCAGGAAATGTTTAGTTTTCGCATTATGCCATAAAACACGCATGCACAAACGGTTTTTCGTGCTACATTGCGCGTATGCGGTATGGTACGTATTTTCAGCTGGTTGAATTCCTCACTATGGGTGTTAAATATAGAAAGGAATTACGTCGTAGTTTTGATTGGATTGACATTCATGTACCGCGCGTGCGAATGGGTATTGGAGCAAAGGCCGGGACGAGCGCGCGGTAGCGGTGTACATCGAACAGCACTGAGCAGTCCAGTCCCTGAAATTTACTCAGCCAGTTTTAAGTATCCGTTTGGTTGGCCTATTAGCTGTATGATGATTCCTGTAAGCTATGGTGTTTCGCTTTTAAAAAGGCCACGTCCGCTTGCCAAACTTTTAGAGCATAATAAAACCACTTCTGTTCTTTCGTCATGCCTTTTATGGATCGAGTTGACATCGATTTCCAGTAAATTATAAAGTTTCGGGTGTCTATAGCTTAATAAACGAAAGCTTGAATCACTTTCTCAACCGTTTGTTAAGGATATTGGAGATTCTTAAATTTTAATCCAATCTGGACACAGCATTACGATAAAAGAGGACCCTTTCTTAAACATTCGAAGTGGAAGTTGATTTCAATTTTAACAAAAGAAATTCTCTTGACAAAAGCTGTAATCTACAAATTAAAGCTTTTGTAATTTCATGTAAAGCCGCTTTTATGCGAAGGATATTATCTTGACGCAGGCGGTAATGCCAAGTAAGGCCGTTTTCTGCCGAGAACCGGAAAAACAGAATATGATTAAATTTAGCATTTTAGGCTAGGTAAGCCGGCAGGCGGAAGCCCAGCCTTGCAACATTAGCATGTGACCGATGTGCCAGATGGCATGTACTTCAGACGTTTCCGTCATTTCCTAAGCACCACCATTCCAGTGTCATCTGGGAATTAATTACATCAGCATACAGAGTATGCCTATGATTAATCACACACGGCTGGGTGATTTTCATTTGACTGCATTTTTCTTGAGAAAATTTGGTCCTCGGTTTGCGTTTAGTACGAAGAACAATACGGGTAACCAGTGTTGTACAGATATGAGTGCTGTTTAAAATTATACGGGCTGTTCTGTCCCGCATTTCGGGCACAATCCCTTGATCACATCAGCGAACCGATTCTTTGACTTTTTACTAGATTATATCAATCTACGAAGTAGTATCCGATCGTTTATTATTATATTGGTAGCTGTCCAAAATTGTCCTGTTTCTGCGTGAGAGGGTGTGATGTAATTGTCCGAAGTTGTACTTTCCGGGAATGCAATCATTCGAGTACTTTGCACTGCCGGCGAGCCGCCGCATGGCGTGACAGTCAACAATGGACTTCCCAAAAGCAACTGCGCGCCATTTCGGATGCTGTGTCAGTCGCACGTGCGTAAATTTCGTGATTTGCTTGCTGTGAACAATAAAAATCTAGCTGTATACTGTATGCCGACTTTTCAAGTCAATAAATCATTGACTTGCCTTCTCGTCTAACGCAAATTCTTGCCGACATTAATTTCTACAAAATGTCAAACTTATCGCTCTACGTTATTAACCGTACACAGTTAGGCAGTACCAACATTACACTGGACAACGCCCATTTTGTGACATACATGACGGTATCCAGTTTTTCCTGCCTGTTCACCATTGTGGTCTACCTTCTTCTCACCACGCTGACCTTCTGGCGACGTTTCTACTTGACCGGATCCCGTTTTCTGTTGGTCCACCAATTTCTGGCAGAACTGCTGATGGTCGGTGTGCACTGGCCGCTTCTTCTCCTGCAGATGCTGTTGGCACGTCACGGTATTTTCACCAGCAACAAATTCTGCCGGCACTTTTTCTTTTTCTACGTAGTCAACATGATGGCCGCATTGTGGGGCTTGTGCGCCCTGTCGTTTAACCGGTTCATCGCCATCGTCTATCCTCACCTCTACGCTCGCTTCACGCGCCGACGTTTTCTGTTAGCGCAAGTTGTGTCATTCTGGATTCTGGGAATCGCGATTCATTTGCCCTTCTACGTGGATGGCAGCGGCTTCGTTGCGGAATCTCCCTGGACTCTGTGCAACTTCGCTCGCCAAGGCGGTTTGATGTTCGATATCGCGGCGACGTTGCGCGTCCACCTACCGTTGGCCGTGGCTGGTGTCATGCACGTTATAGTTTTGTGTCAGGTGGCTGCCTCACGGCGGCAAATTCACCGCAGTGCAGCGGACGCTGCGGCATCGGCGCCGGGAAGCGCGGCATACCGGAAACGCGTAATGTTGGCGAAGATGCTTTTTGCCAATTGGATTGTGCACTGTATGTGCTTTGCCACGCTCCCAATGCTCAAGTCGGTGCTGCCGCTGTGGGTGTTCCGACAGATGATGACGCTGCCGTGGCTGCGCGATGTTTTCTATGCCGGATATTTATCCACACCGGTAATATGTTTACATCTGCTATCGCGTCTGTTTGATAATTACATAATATGATTTATGCGAGTCACGTTGTTTAAAAATGGACGGTTTTGTGTTACCCGCAGGTGCTGTTTTACGCAATGAATAAAGAATGTCGGGAGGTGGTGAACAGTGTGTTAATGTGTGCAACAGTCACGGAAGCAAAACCCGAAGCGTCCATGAGTTATGCACAAAGCCATAAAGGACAACCGCACACTGCCTTTCTCAAAACAGTTGCTGTACCATAAAGATGGGGCCACAACCGACGACAGAAACCAATATATGGGACCTTTTATACTCCTACCACCAAAACTAAATCCGGATCAGCCATGCTAACCTAACTAGCCGCGTCAGCTGATGCAGCGAGTTCAGTGAGTTCAGTAAATCACTTCTGCTATTACTGTTTACACAATTTTTTTTATTTTTTTTACCTGCACTTCGAGACAGTGAACGGTGGTTTTGTAACTTTTGTTATGTTTTTTTTTTGTTTCGTTGAATGTTCAGACAACAGTTATGGGAGCCAGCCACACCCGCTCACAAAATGGTGACGCTCTCGCGTGCGTGCACACGCGCACATTCGTGTTTGTACATGGTGCACTCATTGCAGTTTGCTCTGTATCATCCAGCCATCTCTGTGCGTCATTTGGTGCGTGTGTGTTTCGGGTGATCGGAAGTGAATGTGGAACGGTACCTTTGTCCGTTTCGGTCGGCATAGTCGACACGTGCTGTCTTGCCTGCATCGCCATCTTACCGTGCAGCGCGCTCAATCGCGGTTGCTCGTCTTCTTGGTTGGGCGGGCGGGCGATGGGGAGAGTTTCTTGGGTGGAACATGGGCGATTCACGAACCTTTCCCGTACAACATTATTTTACATGTTTATTTCAGAAATCAACCAAAACTTATTTAGAAATCAACCAAAACAGTGATGTCGCTACGCGATGAACATACATTTGTCAACAATCATCAACAATTTACTTATGACTAGGGTTATTTATGGCTTAATTAGTGCAGCTAAAGGTATGGCTCGAACCGTTGTTGTATTAGCCCTTCGTAGAGATGTTGTTCATCCCTCCGAAGGTCGTATATATAGAAAATGGAAATAAGGAAATATGCCCGCTCGTCATATGATGATAGTACCCTCGATAGATTACTGCCGGCTGATTACGTTTTGTTGTAGTAATGACGAGCTCATCCATTTTTCATTCAGCGACTGTTACGTACGAAAAAAAGTGTAACTTTTATTTTTTTTGCATATACTGCAATTAACTTGTGGTAAAATTAAAAGGTTCGCGAATCCCCCTACGGGTTAGTGAATCGCCCACGTAACCGTCCTGGTAAGTGCTACATTTGCAGGTGCACAAAATTCTTGTATGTCTGATTGTGAGTCTAAGTCATGGGTCTGTACTTGCACACTAAACCAAACTTGTATGTCTACGACCTACTCGTATAGAAAGCCCTAAACGTGCAAATTTGTACAAAACAACCAGATTAAAGAAAAACATTGTCAGTTTTCAGAAACTTTAAAAAACTTAACATGCAGAGTCTACGGGAGAAATGAGGCATCCAGCATTGCAAAACCGACCACTCCTTTAGTAGCACTGCTGTAGAAATTAATCAGCCAAAAATGGTCGAAAACTGAATTTCTGCATTGCTTCGTTAAAACGTTGCACTGGATCAAACCTGGATGCCTGGGTATCATTTAGTACTCCTGAATTTATAGATTTTTCAACAAGTTTTTTTTCAGAAAAGAAGCAATTCTACGTCAGATATCGAGGCTAATCAAGATAACAAAGTCTACGCAGCAGTTCAGAAAGTTTCTTCCAGGCGCTGGCGTGTGCAAGCGTTAGCAAATTTTGAAGGTTGCCGCGTTTCCTCGGGTTGATACGGTTAACTTTTGTTTAATTGTGCTGTGAAAGCTAATTTCCGAAATTTACTGTAATCATTAATATTTTTTGATTTTCAGAGGATAATGCTTTGCTAGAAAAGACGATTTGCCTGATAAACCTTTAAATTTGTATTTAAAACAAACCAAATGGAACCACAATCATGCTGCTTGGATTTCCTAGTGCTTAATGTACAATAAGCGTAAATACAAGCAAGGTCAGAATTGCTAGGAACACAATCTGCGGCTGGAGCTAAACGTGGTGCGTGACCAGTGATCGAATATTGGAACATTATTCTGCAAGAATTTTGTGGGGCCCAAGATCATGTCTTGAGATTTTAATAGAAGGCGAAGCCGTCGGCATTCGGCAACGCCGAGTTTCGACACGAGCAGAGCTATCTGTACAAGCAGGAAATTAATCTTCTTTTTCTGAAATAAAGCAATTTTCCGTGGCCGTCCTGGATGGAAACTGGAAAATAACTATCGAATGTTTAGTTGTTTGTCGGACATTGGAACTGAAAGCCGGTTAATCCAGTAACGCCCATTGGTGTTTGGGCGCAACATGGTCATCAAGTTGATTTTCTTAAAACACAACCGCAATTAGTCGATATCTGATAGCGTAATTAGCGTTACGAGACCTTGCAGCAGCAATAAAAAAACAAACTAAACTGGAATCTCAAGTCCCTCAAGAACCACGAGCTCGCAAAGGTCGCTAATTTCAAACTTTCTAGCCTCCCAGAGTACCTCGCAATTAACTAATTAGTCATCGAGTTAATTAATCTAAGATAATTCAGTAATGTACTATCATTAATGCTTTAATAATTAGTAACAAGCAGCGGTTCTGAAAGTTAAACAGTGGATAGCCACAGTCCATCGAAAACTCGTGTTGCGTGCAAACACCATTGGGCATGTATGGTCCTGAAGTACGGGCGGGCGCAATTACGACACTGTTATGATTTAAGGTTGGGCATTCCAAGGGAAACGTCCCTTTGGAACGGATTTTGGATTGGAACGCGGATTCCAAAATTTGGAATCCAAGATATTCCATGGATTCCATGGAATGCGTTCCAATCCGCGGAATCGCAATAAATTAGTGGAATTACCGTAATTAGCAATTATAATTAATTGCAGATGTTGTTTTTCTCAATTTATAATTGACCTCTTTCGTTTCAGTAGCTTTCTATCGTCAAATTTACAGTAACTCTGAGGCTCAAAATGTTCAGATGTATCACAACATACGGCGTCAGTCATAAGCCATATAGATTGCTCTTATACCGGTTAAACTCATAGTATGATACTGCTGTAGTTGAAGACAAAAGACTTATAATTTACCTTACTTTAAATTATTAATATCGCATCACAAACACAATAAAACGTGCACCGTAAGATAATATATGCAGTGCCGCTGTAGCTAACACTGCAACGGCACTGCCAGTATATTGTCATTTGCCGGATTTTCAAATTATTGAGTCGCTGCTTACTAAGTCACGTCTGTAAGCCCTTCCTCCAGAATAGCGCAACGAGTAGTATTGATTCACATAGGTGTTTAATATTTAAGTATGGCAGTTTACGGGTATCGAGCTTTATAATTATCTGAAAATTAAAAAGCTTCCCTCACCATCACGCTAAACTTTCGGAAATTTTAGCGTAAAACCACTGAGCTTTGGGGGAAACGCAATTTAAGAGCCCAGAGTCAAATTATGCAAAGTAAAGTTTGTGATTTTTAACGCAAATTAGATAAGACTAATTGAAAAAAGCCTTTAAAAGCTAAATTTTGGTAATTCCAAGGAGAAAAACAATTCCAAAAATTCCATTCAGAATTACCCCAAATTATGGGGTAATTCTGAATGGTGACAATCTTGACGGGCTACAGCGGCAACAAATCGTGCATCGAAATCACTGCACCGAAAGCCTGCCGATACCGGAGGATGGGGAGAACTTCTTCGAACGCACAACAGGTTTTCTATACAGGAAGCGCATCATCCATTATCCCAAAGCGCAGGCGTTACCACACGTGGATTTTATTCCAACTTTTTTGGCAAATACTTGCCGATTCAGTTTGAGCCGCACCGATGGTATTTGTGATTCGAACTGTTCCTATAAAAGTGTTTGGCACATTATTTTGGATGAGATGCAGTTCCGTTGTAATTCTCACGGTGATGGAGAAACGTACTCCATCGATGTTGGCTGTCGAATGTTCGTCCGAGTAGGATTGGACACGGTTACTTTTGTCTGTGCCGACGTTCAGAACGATGGAGACGGTAGCAGCATGGTCTGGGACGAAGAATCACTGGAAAGAGCTTGCGATGACTATTTCACGGAAACGGTGACTAGTGAGCCAACGAATATGGAAGTGACTGCATGGGCCGCGCTGCAGCCTGGTCAGTGCGACAGTGTCGCAATTGGCCCACAAGGTACTTGCCTATTGCCTTTTATAACGCTTGAACGCATTCCCCTTCCTTGATGTCTGAATGTGTTTATGTAGACTTGTACTTCTATTCTCCAGATATGGAAGAAGAAATGAAGATAACTGCTCTTTCGCATCCGATCATGACGTCCGTACTGTTATATCTGGATGCAGATTCCCAATTGCGGACGAGCAGGTAAGTCACTGCGATTCTGCTTTCCAACGGGAAATAAAATCCCTTTCCACTTGATCGACGCACGGTTTGTAATCTTAAAGCATGATAAGGATTCTTTCCGACAATAAGGCGTTTTTTTGGGCAATTATTCGAAAAGACCTTCAATTGTCCAGCTACGTTTAGTGAATGGGAAACATACATTCAAATTACCAGACTTGAATCTCTGGCTCCACAATCAAATCTATTTTCGATTTTTTGCTTGGACATGCAAAGCACAGCTTGTTCTTTATAGCGTACTTGAAAATTTCAAATCCGGGTGAACCGTTTTTTAGTTATTTACGGTGTAAAAAACCAATGACGAAAACCAAAGGAAATGGTTATTCTCACCACCCTGGCACCTCCTTGGGCTGTTCTCACCACCTTTCACCGCCTTTTGGCTATTCGCACCACCTTTTTGAAAATATTGTTTACACCACCTTTTGACTATTGCCATCACCATTTTACACCTTGTTTTCGTTATTCCCACCTCCCTAAATAATTTTTTTATTAGCGGGTGGGCCAACAGATTGGCGGTCTAAGTTCTTAGTTTGACTCTCGCAAATCAGTTGCCACACCGTAATTTTTTTGCGAGCCAAATTCGAAATGGCTATTTTGCCGCAGTGTTTGCGGCTAAATAGCCAGTTGGCTATTTTGCCGCACTAGGGTGGGCGAAAGAGCTTGTTGACTATTTTACCGCACACTGTGTTAAAATAGCTGCTCAACTATTTTGCCGCACTATGGTCGGCA